AATTTTCTGACTAAATCTAAAAGATAAAACTGTATTGAGTTAATAAATAACAAATATTAGCACATTTGTAATTGCGCCTTTTTGCGAAAAGGTAAAAAAAGATTTAAGGTACGCAAAACTGTAAATAATCGACTTACATAAAAATTGTTTTGGTGTTTGTGCTGTGATAAAATGATGCAGGTATATATTTAATTGCAACACAAGGTATCATAACGCATGGCAATGAGTCACAAAGCTTTGCCATGCGCTGCCACAGTTAATTTAATGGTTTTTCAAAAATAAAAAAGATCATGCACTGCCATGCGTTGTAACAACGCACTGCAGCGCATGTGCATAGTGTGCACAACAATATGTGTGTGTTATGTGCGGGGAGGGAGGGGTTGTGCTTTTTTTATTATTTTTTTACACTTTTTTAAAATAATTTAATTCTGTTTTATATTTTTTCCTTTTAATTTTTTTTACATTTATTTACAACGCATGGCAATGCGTCACAAAGCTTTGCCATGAGCTGCCACAGTTAATTAAATTTTTTTTTAAAGAAAAAAATACATTAAAAAAATCATGCACTGCGATGCGTTCTAACAACGCACTGCAGCGCATGGCATACACATCAATATGTGTATGCTATGTGGGGGGAGTGAGGGGTTGTGCTTTTATTAGTTTTTTTTTAAACATTTTTTTACATTTTCTATTTATTTTTTTGGTCCCCCGACCCCCCCGCCGGTGATTTTTTTACGGATCCCCGCTGCCACAGATCCTACAAGCAGCGGGGATCCATGGAGTCTCTCATCCCTCCCTGGGGTGGCGCCCGGTATTTTTGATGATAGCATCGCTAAAGCGACCATGAGCTTATAGTAGAACTGTAAATGCCAGGTCCGTACGGCATACTGAGCTGGCCAGCCAGAAGCACTTTTGTAGCTCCGTATGCCGTACGTCCTTGGCAGCGATAGGGTTAAATGATCACATTGAAAAGTACAATGCATCAGCTACCTTGTGCTACCAGAATATACACAACATGATATGTATATAAAACTAATATCTTCGGTATTGAACAAATTGCAAGGACAAAATCAGCAACAGCAGAAAATAAAATTTCTCTTGAAAATGAATGGTTGCAAATTGGGTCTCCAACTACTTCTGCTAAAAAGTAATTAGCAAGTTCAATGCATGAGCCTTAAGCACACTGAATATATATCACATTCTACAGTTGCTGAGCATTCACTTTTTTTTCCAAGTTCTTGAATTTGAAAGTGTTGAGAAGGCAAGAAAGGGCATCAGCAATTAGATATTTTTTTTTAAAGATTGTCATAACTATTCCTCTAGTTTCCAAATTGTTTTAGATACCTCCTTAAAGTGGACCTTTACCCCCTTTCATTTAACCCACATCAGCATTCAGCTCTGCATGCTGATAAGAAATCTTACATTTACTAGTCAAACATTGTTTGTTCCTGTTTTTCCATTCCTTGGTTCTCTTAGGCATTAGTGATCTAGTCTGTGCCTAAAGCAGGCCATACACCTATAGATTTTCGATCGCTGCTGCCAAGAGCCATAGTTTGATTCTAGCTCAAATAGCCCATCAAGCACGGACCAATGTCGATTTCGATAATCGTTCGCTAGCAATACTAACTCACCAAATTTTGTTGATCGACAGACCGGATTTTCGTTTGCGCATGTGCAGTGTTCTTGCTGCAATTTTTTCATACTAATCAATCGATTCCCTAACAAAAAATCGATAGGTGTATGGCCACCTTAAGAGATGCATCCTGGGAAGGTTACAACAGCAGTGCATTGCTGGGAAATCTCACCTGTGGACTCTAAAATCTTGTGACATCTCAGGGAAACGCATTTCCCCCCCTGTGATGATGTACATGGTCACATGTCCTAATCACGTGTGTCAGAGTTCCAGGAAGTAAAGGGGGATGGATTAATCTGCCCTTAGAAAAAATGGCCACTGAGAGAAGAATGGGGAGGAAAAGAAAACTAAGGTATGCAAAGCATAAAAAGACGTCAATTCACTGGGCAAAAGGACAAAATGTCTGTTTAGATTCTGCCAACACTGCTGTTGTGATTGCCTGCAACTACCATACAACCTCGACTAAAAACATGAGCAGCACTGGACAGGTGGATGAGTCTGTAAGGGCATATCTGTTACGATTGTGTGCAAGGGGCTTAGACATGAGTAAGGAACTGACACACTTCTAAAATATTTAAACTACTTAAAGCTCTATAATGTAAAACATCCCTGCACACATACCATAGATTCTGCATTTATTGTGATGATGTCATCATCATGATCCAGAAGCTTGCAGGAATATCCAATATTTACAGCTGTTTCCTGCTTGTCTCCAGTCAGAACCCAGATTTGCATTCCAGCTTTGCGCAGCTTAGTAATCGTCTCTGGAACACCTTCCTGTAAGCGGTCTTCTATACCTGTAGCACCTAGAGAAAAAGATGGCAATTGAGAATTTTAAAGCAACCTAAACTGGCATTCGGCAGTTCTAGTCTACCAAGAAAGAGGCAGTGGACATCATTGAGGATTCTCCTGCCAAATATTTCCCTGTGGAGCAAGGAAGAGGACCACTACCATATTTCATGGTTAAGGCACTGTCTAAAAAGCAATGCCATCCAAGCATATATTTGGTTTAATAGGTCAGGTTCATCAAGGCTTGGCATCAGGATGGAGGATACTGTGAAGGATCTGCAACTACACATACAAACCAAAACACCTGCAGCTCCCTGGTTGCTTCCGATACAGGAAGCCACAAAATTAGATATCAGCTGTCACATCTATGTTGATTCTGAGCTTACAGTTCAACCAGAAACAATGACAAAGTACTCCCAGCAGTGGCAGTAAGAAAAATAATCATAAATTTGGCATAATAAGTATATAGTTATGTTTATTTCTTCACTTTGAGTTTTTCTGTCCATTCCATCTACATTATAAAATGTACTACTTTTGTTTTAAAATTAATCTTGCAGTGGGATATATCAGCCGTAAGGACAATTATATTTAAGATGACTGCTAGGGAACTAGCATTCTCATGTATTACAGCAATGCTTTCAATTACACTTGTAGCATATCTACAGCCTCTAACCGTCTTCTATAGCTTGTTCATAATCTGACAGTCCCCTATAGCATTAGGTATAGAACTGCAACCAACTAATCGATTATTTATTGGCAGCCCTAATTAGGTACAGGCAGTCCCCGGGTTACGAACAAGATTGGGACTGTAGGTTTGTTCTTAAGCTGAATTTGTATGCAAGTTGGAACAGGTAAATTTTTTAGGTGCAACTGCAGCCAAAAAAACATTTTTAGTTTTGGATAGCATAGGGAAGGGTTAACCCCCTGTAACATTTGTTTTGCTGTCCTCACAGTGGCTCTAATCCCACACCATACTAACCAAAACAATAAAATTTGATGGAGTTCTACTGTAAATGCAACTTGGGACAGATGTTCTTACAATTTCCTGTAATGTACAGTCCTGGACCCGGAAGAAGAGACAGGCACTCCTCGTCTGCACGCCTAACAACTTCCTGTAATGTACAGGAGGTACAGTACTACGAAAGTCAGTGCAAGCACGGCAGCATTACAACTAGTGGAACAGCCTGGCACCTCCGTTCGTAAGTAGGAGTCGTACGTAACTCGTATGTTCGTAACTCAGGGACTGCCTGTATACCACATACTAGAGATGCACCGAAATTGAATTTTCAGACCGAAACTGAAAATAAACAATTTGCCATACCAAAATGGAAAATATATATTTTTTTCTAACCTTTTTAAAATGATTTTTTTTTGTATTTTATTTGTACTACTTTACTGATATTTCCCTTTTCAAATAGAAAAAGAGATTTAAGAGACAGTTCTCAATCTCTTTTTCTGCAGCCCCAGTTATGAATAAACAGGAAGCCTCTATACCGAGCTGCTCCTGTCCTTTCATAAACTGTGGATATAGTATGAGTTACTATGTCCACAATCATGAATGAACAGGATTGTAAAGCACTTCCTGTTCATTCATTATTGGGGACACAGTAAACATACTATGTCCTCAATTATTTATAAACACTCAACGATCAGCTAATCGCCAAGTGCTTGTAACCGCTCTCCATCCTGAGTTGCTGTGACAGGAAGCTGAGTGGGCGGTGCGGGAGGAGAGCTTGGCCTCCTGCCACATTGCGGACAATGATCTCCTTCCCCGCCCCCACTCGGCCACCTGAAAGTTTCTCTTTCTGCTGGGCGCTGTTGTGTGTCAGAGGGGACACAGAGCAGCACTCAAGCAAGGAGGAGAGAAATCAGGGATGCACCGCATTTTTGGCCAAAAAATTGTACTTTCGGCAATGTGGCCAAAGTACCATTTTCAGCGGCTGAAATTTTGGTGCATCCCTACTAAATACATTGTTTGTCAATAATCAGAGGGCAATACTTGAGGTCCCCTTTATCATGGATGTTCTCCACAACTAGCTTGAAGGCTTCACTATACTGACAATCGTCATTAACTGGAAGAATCAGTTTTGCTCACAAGGAATCTATAAAAAACAAAGGGGGCCCCCCCAAGGCATATTTTGTTAGAGAAAAAAACAAAAACATTCTCAATTTCGGTTGGATTTTTAAAAACATTTTGGTGCACCTCTAATAACAACCAATCAGATTAAATTGGACAAGGCGACCCACTACAGGATGCCTGCAGAAAACTACAGATTTGGGGGGGAAACCAGTCACCCCGCAGAAGGAGAATGATAGGTAGTTACAGGAAGCTTCTGCACAAAGCAAAGTTTCATGGTGGATTACTGCACAAATCTGAAAGAAATACAGTAAGTACGCCAAGATTTAAGTCCTAATATGCACGCCTCTTGTATTTAGACAGTATCTGTTCATCCTGGAATCCAGCTTTAAGGATATGCAGAAAATGCATCTTAGATTCTTCCATCTCATAGAGCACAAGATACCCTGCCTGACAACAAGCCATACCTGACTAAAACAAGGACACAGAGGCAACAGTGATTTATACTTTCAATTATACACTCACATCAAGGTAATGGCCAGGTCAATTTTGCTAGTGTCATAAATCTGAAACACTGTCAGTGCTTTATCAAGAGTATCTGTTTCCAGATGCCAGATGTTCATAATTAAACATTCTTGTTGCTGAAGATCCCAAAAACATAATTTATGCTTAAAATTATCACTACCTAGTAATCAGAATATCATAGACAGTTCTGGCTATGCCATGACAATCTCAGGACAATTACTTAACAGTGGGGGTTAATAGTTACACAGATCTTACAGAAGAAAGCCAAGAAGACACACTCCCATGGATTTAATTAGCAAATGTGGCTGCAATCAAAATATCTTTTGTTGAAAAGGCATCCTAAATATTATCAGCTAACAGGAAAAGTATGTAGCCACACAGAGCATCGAGCAGCCCCCTCCAATTCTTCTATGAAAGCAAGATTAATAAACTCACCCAGCAAATGTAGATTGGTCTCCAGACGAACTGCAGATTGGAACAGTAGCTCTTCACGGTTTTCTAATGAGGATTCTGCTTGTAAATGAAATTTCAGCCAACAAGAATACTCTTCTTTACTGAGAACCTAGAGCAGAAAATCTTTTTAAGAATGTGTTTGATTTATGAGGGGTATACATTTAAATGTAAACTGTACACGTAGAATATATTTTTTTGTCTGATGTTGTAGAAGAGGACAAGGTAAACGTGGATGTTTACAATGAGATGTGCAAGTAAAATATTTGCATTCGCAGACGTTTGCTCTTTTAGAATGATTGTTTACAAGGCCGAGACAGGTCATTACATTACTTGCAACAAGAAAACTAAATAAGAGCTGGTAATATTGTGCCTCGTTTTTACCATATCTGAAGAGTAAGGGTGCTAGGTCAGCCAACATGAGTTTTGTGATCCCACATCACCCGTGTGTGTTGTATAGATAGCATTGTGTTTGTGGAGACCATTCAAATGGCTGTTAACAGACTGCTTATGCAAGCAAAGATTATTATAAGACTGCATTTTTAACCAACTGATTAGATAATAAAATGTGTGTACCTGTAAATGTACTGTACACATTGGACAAATCAAAATGGTGTAGTCTACCAAAAATGTTAAATGATTTTGAATATGGCTGAATACTTTATAGTGAGATTGCATAGCCTTGTTTTTTTGTTAGGTTTGCACATTATGTAGTGCACATGGGAAACATAAAATTGTGTCAAATGTGGGCATAAGACACCCAGTCACAAAACTCAACAGCACAGTGGTTATATCAACTGAATAGAGGTGAAGAATGTGTTGTTGTTTACCAGGCAGCTGGCATGTGTATTAGCACATTTGGGCTATGGCATTTTTGCTGTTTTTTTTATTGTACTGCGTATTAATTAGTACTTCCTCTTGCTGGAAATACATATCCCATATATGCACCACCAGACAAATTTTTACCATTCATACTGCAGATTGTAGTCTATACAGCCTTGAGTAGTCTATACAGCCTTGAGGCAAAGAAACAGAGGTTGTGAGACACATATAAAGTGACACTAAACTCAAGAGTTAAATCTTAAAAATGCATTCAAGTACCCTATTAACAAAAATGTATCTTATTTGTGTATCCCTCGGCTGTAGATCTGCAAATCATCTCTGAATTGGTTTAGTCCACCATGGTCCCTGTGTGGGTTGTAAAGTAGCCACTGCTCCATCCCGTCAGCGTACGAGTACGGACACCTGCATGGACGTGCAGTTCAGGTGAGCGTACGGCCGTGTACTCCCATAGAGAAGAACGGGCTGCTGCATACAACCACACGCAGCACCTGTCCTTCGCGGGAACGGCCCGATACGACTGTGCACGTAGCATGGATCCAACGGGGCCGGCTGTTACTCGTGTGAATGAGGGCTTAGTTTACTCATTCTTATTGAGATTGTAGTCCATTACAGGAGTTGTCTTGGAGCGGTGGCTACTTTACAGCACACCCAGGGACCATGGGGAACAAAAGTAGCCACCCCCCAGAAGGAAGGGCGGTGTCAGTACAAATTCAGAGATGATTTGAGGATCTACAGCTGAGTGATACACAAATAAGATGCATTTCTGTTATTCGTTAAGGTACTTGAATTTATTTGAAGGTTTAACTCTTGAGTTTACCATCTCTAAGCAAATCTACAGCAATGTTATAGGCATCAGAAAGGCTTCATTTGGGAAGATAGGAACAAAGCAAACCCTGATGGAAAGGGGTAGAGAAAAAAAAGTCAAGACTCAAGTGTACCTATTAAAAGGGGACTGAACCTCTTCAATTTAAATTTTCAACATTTAATTTCTTCATAGGATTCGGCATTGTCTGCTCACAAACTGCAAACATACACTCTTAGAAAGCAAAGCTTGCAGTTACTTACTCGTTTAGCTATACACAAAGTTCTCAATCCATCAACTGCATAACAGTTCAAGTAATTCTGAGTTTTGGTTTGAATTCTTCTTTGGTACTTTCCCACAGAATTGTCTAAATAAAAACAAACAGCACTAAATTAGCAACACTGCACTTTTCCCAAGAAACAATTAGGTTAGAAGATAAGTTACACTGTGTAATTTATACCACAGTCAGCTGTCTTGGATTTAAAACCACATCACAGTTCGTATGATTCCATTGAAACAGCCACTGTTCACACAGTGGTAATAGTACCACAAGAACACTACATATTGATGCTTTGATTCGGCTTCCCTTTCTGGAAGAGCTGTTCATGTACAGGACATCAATTGCTTGATAACTGTGTGTGCTATATAATAAATGTAAGTGTGAATTGAGCTCAAGTTCGCAACCATATTAGATACAAATTAAGACATTCAGCTCCGAGTATGCATCATTTTTAACTGTATAGACCTACTTAATCTCCAAGGACACTTATACATTCTGTATGTAATTGCTGTCTATCTGCTTATGCTCAAAGAGGCTTATGTAGTCAATCTGACATCCACTGTGTAATAGCTAAAATTAGCTGAAACTCCAGCCTTGTTAAGACACATCTGGTTGGGTGTTGATCAGTACTCTGTGTGGGAAGCTTATTGGCAAAAATGTTTGTTTTTTTATTTAAATTTTTGATATATTAGTTTCCAAATGCCTGTACGATAAACCCCAACTACAGTGCCATTCCTAAGCCATCCCAAAAGCTTGAGGTGATAAAGGATGAGCAGTATACCAAACCTCCCCTGCACAGAATATAGACACTGGTTTAAAATAAGTAAAGGAAATGGACAGGGAGATAGCAGCAACCAGATTTCTGCTCTCCTTTATCCTTTGCATGTCACAATATGAAAGAATACTTGATTGGCTGTTAATTTAAATTTCTTTAGCTTTTAGTTTAAAAAAACAGTACATGTACAACAGTGTTAGTACTGATTATGCATATAGATACATTTTTTAATTTATTATCATAGATTTAACATGCAGCTTTGTGACACATTTAGTTGAGTACAATGCAGTAACATTCTGCTAAATATCACAATTCGGTTTTGTAGGCAAGCCAATGGGTTACTGGCATTAATCCTGAAAGACACAGAGCCCCGAAGCGAGCTGCAGATGTCCATTTGGTCAAAAGTATGGCAAGCCTATATATTTTGCACATTGCCTTTTCCTGTACACCTGTATCTTTATTTTACATGTTCCAATCAATATAGGAGATTGAGTTAAAAAAAAATATCCTTATAAATTTAAAAAAGGAACAATGCACTACTTCACCTATTTACAGCTATCTGTATGCTAGACTAACCTCCTGCAGTTATTTTTAGACAGAGAATGCCATCTGCATGTCTTTCTGCTCTGGGAACTGCTTCAAAAGATTGGTCCCACATGACTGTGACCCGGGAACAAATTTCCTTTCTAATCAATGTTTTCAAAAAATATCATGGTAATTTATATGGTAGGTCTGTTTCTGTTATTAACAAAACAATCTCCTTTGTGTGGCACTGGAAAACTGCTACAGCTCTAAACCATTGCGACCAATATTTGCAAAGACATTCATGAGGAATAGCCAAACACATTCTAATTGTGTGAGAAAAACAAAAAGTATTAGTAAATTGATCATGTGGATGGAAGCTTTGGTGGATATAGCACTGAGATTTCTGGGAAGGTAGGAGGCTACCTGACAGATTTGCTTAGAGACTAAAGCTGGCTATACACTACCTGAATTTTGAGCAGTGTCTGGCCACGGACGACACCCCTCTACTTGGCAAAAGTCATTTTCATTGAAAGTTCTAACCAAATGCGCAAACACCCGCTTTTAATAAGCTCCTCCTCAAAGGGATAACACACTGAAAAACAGCCCTGGCAGCTAGACAGGCATGTCTTAAAGGTGTAGGCACCTCAATAGCACATAGTCTAACACTCAGCAGTAAACCTACAAAGGGGAACCCTAGAGCCTCCATACACTCCAATACATTTACCCCCTATGCAAAAATTAAAAGGGAGTGGGGGTGGCTATGGAAAGGAGCATTACTCACCACGTCTTTGGCACGAGTTGCCAGAAGTCACATTGACTGCAGACTGAGGTGCTATATATTATCCTGCCATGGCCCACAAGCCAGCAACTTGCTTGAAACAAAAATCCAAAAGGAACTTAGGATTTGCCAGAGGAAAAATATCTATGTACTAGATTCTCGGCTAATAACTGGGTTCCGGCCACCATCAGAAGCTGCCCCCTAAGCTATCTTTAGTTTTTTTAGCGTACCTACTGTCCTACCCTTTCAGACAGTATTATACCCAGTTTGTGATTATCTAAAGCAGAGCTGTGTCCTCCAATGAACGAAAAGAGAAATAGTGATTTCTGGTAAAAAGGGAAATCTGCTTTAAGATAAGGAGCATTCCATGTAAAAATCTCCCCACTACCAACAGGCCCTTGCAAATTGTCAGCCATAACCAGACATCTTGAGGTTTACAGAGGATGATGGAGCTAAAAGCTGAAATGCAATGGCTCTTGAAAAAACTAAATCATGGATATACTGCAATAGAAGATTTCATCTGAAGGTATAACTGAAGGTAAAATCTTAAAAGAAGAGCTTCCCAATTGCTACAGTGTAACTATTATAAAATGGTCTTAAAAACTAAATGTCTAAAAGAACGATATTTGTTATTCCTAGCAACTAAATCAGGGTCTTCCATTAATTTTCTCTTCTATTCATTTTCAGAGTCTAGTAGAATCTGAAAGGCTGCTTGTGGGGGAACAGTTTCACTTAAGATATTTAAGATATAGAGCCAATTATGTTACATAATATTCCCATACAACAATATGAGGAGGATTATCTGTTGCAGTCTGGTATAGACTGTTTTGTTTACTGTCGTCTTTGAAGCTAGTATTTAGTACTCAGTGTCCTTAAGGCATTCTAGTCATTTCCAAGAAATCACAAATTACATTATGTATATACTGTACACATGTCAGTGACCAGTGAATAAGAACTTGAAACATAATGATGAACAAGTGTTTACAGTAATGGCTTGTACGCTAGCGGTATGCATGTCATTTATTAGGGAGAGCGAGTAGTGGTGTAGCCATTTCCATTTTAAAGTTTTGGATAGAGTGGGGAAAGAAAAGATTGGTAAGGATTTTATTGCTATCTGGATCCTACTAGGGGGATTTCCTTTCAGTTTTATCTTAAAAGACGGGAATGTGGGTCATAAGGACAGGAAGGCACAAACATCATTGAGTTTCCATTTCCCCACTCTGCCGTGCCTTCCTTGTATGAAGATCATTTCCCATCAAATGGGAGGGGAAATTTCCCAAAGGGGGCACAGAAAACAAAAACAAAAAAATTGACAGATTTACCTCTTCCCCATTCTGTTAAAACATTTGCCTTGGTTGTATTTGTGCTTTAATAGTTACCTGTTATTTTATGTCAGATCAAAAGAACAAGAACTGTTGCCATAATTTTCAGTAAAAGACTGCTATACGAACTGTAAGCAACACAAAACCAAATATAATCCTCTTAGGCCTTGTATACACCAGGTGCAGAGCAGATTAGTTGCAGACCGGAACAAAACTGCGTCCAATGTATTCCAATGGTATTTTTTGCTCCAGTTCACATCGCAGCGTGCAGGTCCAGAGCAGGTGAAAAAACTGCAGCAGGCCCTATTTTACCTGCTCTGCATCTGCAAACGCATAAAAAACGCATGCAAATGCCTGGAACGCACTGAAAGCCCATTTTAAACTTTAAAAAAAAAATAATTTGTTTTAATTTTTTTTCAGCCGAAAACACATCGAAAAGACTAGCGTGCGTGTGCAGAAACCTGACCCGATCTGTTCTGTATTTGGTGTGAACAAGGCCATAGAGTGACACTAAACTTAGGAGTTAAATCTTAAAAATGCATTTAATTACTTACATTTTTCTTAAAAGTTAATCTTATTTGTGTATCACTTGGCTGTAGATCCTCAAATCATCTCTGAATTCATACTGACACTGTCCTTTCATCTGGAGGGTGGCTACATTTCCCAATGGTGTGTGTGTGTGTGTTGTAAAGTAGCCACCGCTCCAAGCTCACTCCCGTGATGGACTACAATCTCACATTTAATTCACCAATTTGAATGAGATTGAAGTCCATCACGGGAGTGAGTTTAGAGTACTGGCTACTTTACATTTTTTTTTAATAGTTGAGGTACTTCAATGCATTTTGAGATTTAACTCCCAAGTTTAGTGTCACTTAAAAGAAGCACTTGATTTACACTGGAAAAAAATCCATGGAGTGAAACACAGTGACATTTATCAACTCTGTTCAAAAAAGAGGCAGTATTACACAGGCGCAGCAAGACAGAGTTCACACAGCTTTATGATACTAAAGCAGCTTAATTAATACATTTCTCCCATGTTGTTAGTAACACTGCAATAGAATAAAACCTACCCATGACCACATCCATGTTGTGCATATGATTCAAGTGAAAATCTTTATCTGCTAAATCTGTTACGGTTTACTGCCCAGGATTACAGGCAGAGGGGTCACAAATACATGGGAAAACTGTTGCATGCTTTGCTGAAACTAAGCGGCAGCCCAATTCACATCTACATTTTCTTCAGTTTGCTTGATCAATGCTCCATCATGTATCTACCCCTAACCCCATCAGTGCGGCATCAGATCTATAATATTATAAAAGAAAAAACAAGAAACACTGACTCCTACCTTTAGGACATTCCTGGACAAGATCCAGAACAACCGAGTCTGCTCCTTTAGTGTAAACAACAATTTCATCTGTAAGTGGATGCCTGACAACAACAGACATCCGTTTCCTGGTGGAGTCAAATCCCAGGGTGTGCAAAAGTTCAAAGCTTAGACTCCCCAAATGTGGTAGTTCCACGGTTACTTGGTCAGACAGTCTACCAACAAGAGAAAAGCTATATGCTCTGGCAGCATATACAAGAGCAGCTTCATCAGGGCTCTCTGCTTCATAGCGCAACTCTCCCTCCTGTCCATCTCCTTTGACACTGGTTTCTTGCTGAGAGTCCTGACCACCAACAGTAGTTTGTGGAGAGCCAGAGATTTTTCCTTCTAACTTTGTAAAATTGCCTTCAACTGAGTTAGAGGACAAAATACTGGATCCAATTCTCTGCATAGATTTGCTCGTAGCTAGACTTGATGAACTGCTACTATTTGATCCCGTAGTTAGCCGGCTTGGAGTAAACCTACGGATAAAGTCCTCGATAGTCTTAACAGGCGATTTCAGCTCATAACGGACTCGAACCTGTAAAAAAAAAAAAAGCAAGACAGGAGGAAATTAAGGCGGTTAAGCCCATTATGTGCACTTAGTGTCACTGTTTCCAAACCAAATGTCAGCTTGTTTACCTATGTGCAAAAGTCATAAAGTCATAACTCACAGCAACCAGAGTTAAGCCCCCTTCAGTCCTTTGCAGACTGTTGAATGCCCTAACATGTGTTGCATTAAGGAAGCCCAATGTTGACACCTACTGTATTTGTGCCAATCTAAAAGCCACAAAGCTGTAAACCGTCAGTGTCATTGTGGTGATGTCACAGTGTTGATCAGTGTTCTCCTTGCTGGAAACAATGACACGAGGAAACAAAAGTTCTGCCCCTATCAAGAGGGCAATCCCCACACAAAGTGCAGAACAAGGCACTGTAAGATCAATTGTTTGTGACTACAAGTTTTATTTTGGGATGCCATATTTAAGTCCTCTCTCTTTTTTTCTGTCACTTCTTTTCCTGGTGATACCTGCTCTCTATCCTGTGTTGTCAGTTGTCACTAGGCGTGGAAGTGAGAGGAAACTTTCTTCAATGAGGACATAGACCGCAAAAAAACTATGATCATCTGACTCTTGCTCACTTCATCAAAGTTATAAAAGTTTTGGCTGGAGTTGGGCTTTATAAACTGCATAAAAAATAGGTCCACTCGTATTACCTTTTGTCTAGGCTGATTCGGAGAAGTTACAACAACAGTATTGCAAATTGTCAAAGCAACAAAAAAGTCAAACACGTCCATAAGTTCTGGAGTGACCCTGGAGAGGAGATCTTCTTGGTTTCTCACAATCTTCAAAGCTTTAGTGCAATCACTGACTTTTTCTAGAAGCTTTGGGTCAGGAGTGATATCTTTTTCCTTAAGAAAAGAAAACAGGTTTTATTATACATTATTATTATTATACAGTATTTATATAGCACCAACAGTTTGCGCAGTGCTTTACAATATTACAATATAAGGAAGACATTACAATCACAATACAATTCTAGACAAGGTGGTAAGGAGGGCCTTGCACGTGACGGCTTACAATCTAAAAGTACATATACATACACACGTTTACATTTAAACATGCATACACGTTGTAATTCTCTCTATATTCTTTAAATGCCTTTTTCTAAAATGGCCTAGACAGATTTGTTGGTACCCCTAGACAAAATTGAGAACTAGATCATAGTGATCTTTCAAACTGTTTTTGAAATTAGTATCACAAATGTCTTCAATTTTGTCAGCCAATTTAAATACAATTATTTTTCTATTTGATATCATCGTGTGCACCACACCGAAAGCAAAAGAGAGGAGTTGTCTAGGGAGAACATAAAGAAAACTATAGACCAGCATGTAAAGAGTAGAGGCTATAATATCTAACAGCAGCTTAATGCTCCTGTGACTACAGTTGCAAACATTAATAAGACGTTTTAGGTCCATGGGAGTGTTGCCAACCTTCCTGGATGTGGCCCCAAGAGAAGAAAAATCGACCCCAGATTTAACAAAAGGATAGACAGAGCCAAGACATCCATGCTAAACTCCAAGGTCAAGGTACATTAGTGTCGGATTGCATTATCTGTTACTTTTTGAGCAACAGTGAGCTCAAAGGAAGAAGACTCCACAGCAACAGTGAGCTCAAAGGAAGAAGACCCCACAGTTGAAAAATACATAAAAAGTCAGGCTGTAATTAGCTGCAATGCATAATGACAAGCCCAATGCATTCAGGAATGTCTCCATCCTGACAGATGAGACAAAACTCCTCAAATCGGCTCTATGTTCACAAACCAAAAAAAAAATTCTAAAAATTAAGATTTCCAAAAAAAGATTGTTGTACCTACTGTGAAATATGGAGAAGGCTTGATTATGTTTTGGGGCCAATTTGATGCGTCTGGCACAGGGTGCCTTGAATGTGTGCAGGGCACGATGAAATCTCAAGTACATTCGGAATTCTTGAGAAAAAAGTATTGCCCAGTGTTGGAAAGCTCTGTCTCAGTCATCCAATAGGATAATTACACACTTCTAAAAGCACCTAAGAATGCTAAAAGAACAAAACATTGGCCTGTTCTAAAGTGCCCTTGTATTAGCTGTGATCTGAATCCTATTGAACATCTTAAAAAAATGCCTAAAACATGCAGTTTGGACAAGGCACCCTTTAAACCTGAGAGGAATGGTGCAGTTTGCTCAAGAGGGGTCCAAGCTACCTACTAGGTGCAGAAGTCTCACTAAGAGCTACATAAAATCACTTGTTTGCATCTAAATGTTGTTTGACAAAATATTATGTTAAGAGTCCTATCATTTATGTCCATGGCATTTAATTTGATTTATTGCTTAAAATATTCAGTTGAATCAAAAGCAAAGTCTGATTTTTATTAAATATGGAACAATGATTGAAGCCAATTACTTTGGTCAGTTTAAAGTTAAATCAGAGAAGATTGTGGGTTCTTTTATCGTAGAAGGGTACCAACAAAGTTGTCCACATGTGTACACACACAGAATACCTACCTCAAACCTGAAAAACTCCAGCCTAATCATGGCCGGAGCGAGGACAAAAAAAGAACACTGGTCTATGGTAAGGGACCCTCTTTTAACTGCTATGAGGGTGGTCCTGTGGGGGGTCAGGAGGGCGGAGCTGACCCATCGTAGGCTGACATGAGGAGGGAGCCAGGAAATTATATATATTTTTTTTTTTATATTATCCCTCTACCCATACACATTTTTATTACTTAAAGTATACAACAGCTGGTCTGTTGTGGTATGTTGAATTATTCCTACAAAAACACTATCCAGAAATGGCACGACAAAATGAGTTTTTGCTGGAACTTCTGGAATTTGGAAACTTCTGGAAAGTAATTTTTCAGTTCTCAAATACGTGGATACATCCACTGTATCTAAGACATGCGATGGTCTGGCTTAGATATACTGATGATGTACTGCTACTCTGGAAGGGTGGTGAGGACCTCATAAAAATATTTATTTCAGAGCTGAACATCAATGAGAGAAACCTGAAATTCACCTACAGCCACAGTAATGAACAACTTTCGTTCTTAGACCTACTTATTGAGGTAGAGGATGGTGAAATAGTGACTAAAACTTTTCGGAAAACAACAGCAGCAAAACACCCCGCTGCACGCCACAAGCAACCACCCACCACCGTTAAAGCGAGGGATCCCAACTGGCCAATTTCTACGAATTAAAAGAAACTGCACTAAACCAACGGATTACGCCAATGAATCTAAAGCCCTATATAAAAGATTTAGGGAACGAGGATACTCGCATAGGACCCTAAGAAAAAGTAAAACAAAAGTAAACGAAAAAACAAGAACCGAATTACTTGGAGACAAATCCAGAGAAGTCCCTAAACTGGAAAAAAAACTATACAAGAATGATTACTAAATTCGGTTCCGGATGGGAAAAACCGAGATCTATCATGACAAAACATTGGCAGATTCTTGAACTATGCCCAAACCTAACTAAAATAGTAGGTCCAAGACCTCTCTTGACAGCGCAAAGAGCTGCAAACCTAAAAGATGCCCTAGTAAGCTCGGAATTTAGACCTAAACAACTAGACCAAGGACACAATAAACCAAAAGGAATGTTTCCCTGTGGTAGATGTAGGATATGCCCACTGGTGGATAAAACAAACACTTTAAAAAATACAGAAGGTACAAAAACCTATAATATAAATAATTTTATCAACTGTGAGACCAGCAAAGTAATATATCAACTCGAATGTCCATGTCACAAATATTATATAGGAAAAACAAAAAAAGACAATTATCAGAATCGGGATCAGAATCAGAATCGGGGAACATCTAAACGACATTAAGAAAAAAAGAGAAGGATAGTCCTATAGCCATGCATTTTGCGGAAGTCCACGGTGGTCAAATAATAGGTCTAAAGGTAAAAGCCATGTATGCATTAAAACTGCCCCCACGGAGGGGGGATTTTGACACCATTCTCCTCCAAAAAGAAAAAAATGTGGGTCTATAGATTAAACACCCGGGCACCAATGGGTTTAAACAACGAATTTAATCTTAATATGTTCCTGTGAACCCCTCTAAAGATTGTTGAAAGCCTCCGTCCCTACATCACTTCAAATACATTCCTCACAGTGATTAGCATATTGTCTGGCTCTTTGTTTTGTTTTTTATATATTTTCACTGATTATGTTCTTATAAGCCACCTCTCCGTTGCCTATGGAAATTCCTTTGCAAGGAGAAAATCTAGCCCAATGACGCAAGCAAACTGTATTAATAATTAGTCCACAGGTGAGAACAGCATTTATATGTGCCCGACACCTGTGAATCAGCACGTCCTGACGAAGCCACAAGGGGAGGGGTGAAACGCGTAGACGCCACTCTGAACTAGGTGGATGACCCGTAGGACTTCGGCTACACAGCTTCAGTATCCCGATCGACACTACACCTTGGATCTATCTAACAGCACTAGTGTCTGCCTTCATAAGCGGTATCTGGATACCCTATTAACATTGGAATCGTATTGGGGATACCAGAGGGAGATCACGAACGTCATGCTGGAATAAAAAACACGCAACTACCCATGACAATCCTGAAATGGAGATTGAAGAACTGACCACCAGGTTAGACTCGCTGGTCTGCAAAACACGAATCAGCAAAACAAGTTATGCCTACCGTATTGGAAGAAATATCCCCATGTACACATATATAAGGTGAAGACTCTAACACTGTCCATCAGAGAGAACCAATTATAACCAGCTATGTATTGGTCAAAAAATCAAGAAGAGTCACAGCCGGCATATATTGCCCCTCTCTGATAGAACTAACCCACCTTATGATCCGAGACAATACTTAAAAGAAAGATACCGCTGATCTGGATATTATCTAACAAGCTATCACTCACAAAGAATCAAATATCTACTAATGAGAACCCAATCCCGCTAAAGAAGCCGCTATATACCCGTTCACTGCCGATTACAGCCATGTTTATGAAATATACAAAGTGGTAATTTGTAGGATATTTATTAAGGAAAAAACAAAAAAACCTGTGAATCACACCCTTATGGGCAAAAAAGACCTCCATCCGCACTGCTAGATGCACATAGGTCTAATACAGAACTAGTTTCATTAATATTCAGCATGTATGAATATTCAGAGCATAAATTGTTAGTTCTGGGCTCCACCTTCAGGCAAAATCTTAAATTGCAGCTTCCAGTCATTATGACACAGGTAGATGTGTCGCCGCATCATGTTGGTGCATATAGTAGCCTGAAAAGGGGTGAAATCTCCTTAATTCTGGAATACCTCTTCAAATAAAAGGTACAATGTGTTACGTTATTGGCTGGTTAGGAACCTAAAAAAAAATGTATTGAATGGCTTTATTCACATACCATGGGACTGCTGAAGGCCGTGTGCTTTGAAAGGATACTGGCCTTCATAGCTTCTGCTCTGCTGCCAGTCCGTCTGTGGGTCTTGGTACTCTGACTCCTGTGAACTGCTTTTACACTGTGATGGCTGCCACAGCTGTCCCTCCTGGGAAGTGTTGCCGTTTTTGGTCCATTATCTTCTTCTTCCGACTCTACCTCCTGATAGGCTGCTAAGCGTTTTGCTGTAAACATAAAACAAGTAATAAAACCTAGATGCCAAAAGGAAGTAATAAACAATTCAGGACTAAACCTAATTCCATTGACTTGACAACCATAGGATCGCACACCAAACGTGCAGATGTCAATGTATTTTCTTTGTATTTGTGAATGTAACACATGCTGACAGAATGATCATAACTCCTGACCTGCTTTTTTTTCTTGGTCAGAGATTTATAGATAGACAGGAGACAGACATGTATATAATCTGCTGAAACTATAGCTTAACATTTTCCAGGGAAATGATTGTGTGCACTTTATGATGCATTATTCTGTCCCCTATCAAATTAGTCTACATGTTTTACCTATCTGTGGTGAAGCTTCCTTTAAACCTGTTCCAAGTAAACATATATTTGAAGCATGCATGATTTTTTTTTAGGTAAGCCTACATTATGTGCTACTAAAACTCCTGCTGCATTTTTATAAAATCTCTCTTATTAAAACACATTGGTTTGCTTGAAATGTCTAATAGGCGTTTTTCTTCGCAGGCTTTAAATGGAGGACGTTATAGGAATTCTAAAGCATTAAATAAAACACAAGTTTAATTGTCGACAAAATGAAAGACTATAAAGGAAATATGTAATGATGTTCTATAATCTTTTCTGACAGCAAATTATTCATACATCTTTTTTTTACTCACTCAAATTATTTTTACGGTGACTCAGTCAGCACCAGTAGATACCAAACCTTACAAAAATTAATTTACACTAAAGCTTATGCTTTTAACTTCTTATATTTCTTAAAATGGGAATAAATGGGGCACATCTCAAAAAGCCATTGCTGCATTATATAAACTAAAGCACAATGTATGAGCATATTACATTCACTGTTGAATAAAGACTGTAGGCTCAGCTGAATGTTATTAAATAAGCTTCAGTAAGGCTTTACAGGAGTTTCTGTGCACCAGATCCCAAATTTCATATAGCTTTTTGTATTTCAACCCCCATGCAGACTCCTTTATAGCATGAATATTGATATTTTCCTCACGCTATAGTATTTCACATGAAGGTCACATTATTAGGGTAGAACACTTAAAAAAAAAAAAAAAATTACAACTTTTCAATGCTCAGAAATGCATCAGTAGTTGGGGAAAACATTTCCTGGTGAGAATTTAATGCTGATGACATGAAGAAAGATGGGGAACCAACTAATGCACTTTTATATTGATTGCTGCAGCAGCAATGTCTAATAATAAAGCTCTGAGCCAGCACAGCCCTGCTTTGGCAATGAGAGAAAAGTAAAACAGATGCCCATCTCACGGGGCACTGGAGTGCGCAAGAGAGAACCAACAGCTGAAACATTAGTTGCACAGATGGCTCTGTTTTGTGGATAGCAGGGATGCTCAGGTAGCTTACTAAGCATTTGTCCCACAAATTGAATCCCTAATGTGAATGGGGAAATTAAGGTTTTCATCATTTAAGGCTGCCTAAGGCTTTGTTTGCTATTCTAGATATGCTAAGATTTTACTGTAATTGATAATGATAACTCGCACAAAAACAGAATAATCAACTTACTCGTGAACAACTGCTTTTGTTTACAGGGCGTTTATGCCGTTATGCTAAACGTCAACAGTGCCATGACTAATAAAGGTCAATATTAAAACTCCACACATAAAAAGCATTTACCTATGCAACCTTGGCTCTAAGTCACTTAAATTCAAAAGGAAGGAATCAATCTGCATAAAGGCAAGACTTACAGTTACAACAGCTTTGGTTTAAATATGTAATGGACTGCCATGGTATGGAAAATGTTGTATGTACAAGTGGTTTAGTACGCATTTAAGTCTTAGACTTTATAATTTCAACAGAAAATATTAATTTAATCGGTTGCACATACAAAAAAAAAATAGGATTAAATATACTCAATGAGGGACTCGGGATTCAAAAGACATTTGGGTTATACAGAAGCCTACAGGGGCAATTGAACACTGGCCAACAAAACAACAGTGACCAGCTTGGTGTAACCCTCCCACTCGCATAATTTCTTAGTTTTTTAACAAAGCAGTACAAAAACTGCATTCATTGAGGGACACAGGATTCAAAAACATTTGGAACATACATAAGCAGTCCAACACACGGGTGGGAAGCATAGCAATTAAAATGCTAACAGGCCCACTAAAAAACAACATCAGAAAAAAATCTCAGGACGGCCTACAGTTCAAAGAGCGGTCTGAAGGACCTTATGTCCAAAGTTGGTGTCAGCTGCAGCTAGAGCGCTCACCTGGTAGAACTTAAAAAGGATATGCGAGCAGAAGACCAGGCCGCAGTCTTTTCAAACCTGGAAAACAGTTGTCTTATGCTGCAAACCCCAAGAAGCACTCACTAATCCAGTAGTGTCCCTTGACAAGGTAGGGTGGAAGCCGATTGTTGAGACTACAGGCTTGAACAATTACTTGTCTGAGCTACTGAGAAATGGTGGCGCGAGAAGCTGCTTCCTCCTTGCATGGACCATCAGAAATGAAAAATTGAGTACATCTTCCTAATAGAAGCAGTGACCATGAACTAGAATCCAATAGCACGAACATCATCCAGAAATTGATATAGTCCTCTGATCTTCTGGAGCTGGACAGAGCAATAAAAGGACAATGTCCTGGTAGACATGAAAAGCTGAAACCATCATAGGAAGAAAGGAGGCTCCAGGCCTCAACAGACAAGACTTCCATATACTGTATTTATTTAGCTGTGCACACATGATTACCTATTAGCCTGAGTCTGCTGAGCCAAGCTCCCCGACACCTTTCTGGTGGATACTGGTGGTTGAAGTGCTACGTATTACATCAAAGAATATTAGTTTACACAGCCTGTTGCACTACACTGTTTGCAAAATACAGCAAGATGAGCCAGGAGAGAGAGCGGGGAGAGACAGACAGGAGAGCAAGGAGAGACAGCCAGGAGAGAGAGCGAGGAGAGTCAGGAGACAGCGAGGAGAGAGAGCGAGGAGAGAGAGCGAGGAGAGAGAGCGAGGAGAGAGAGCCAGGAGAGAGCGAGGAGAGACAGCCAGGAGAGAGCGAGGAGAGACAGCCAGGAGAGAGCGAGGAGAGACAGCCAGGAGAGAGCGAGGAGAGACAGCCAGGAGAGAGCGAGGAGAGACAGCCAGGAGAGAGCGAGGAGAGACAGCCAGGAGAGAGCGAGGAGAGACAGCCAGGAGAGAGCGAGGAGAGACAGCCAGGAGAGAGCGAGGAGAGACAGCCAGGAGAGAGCAAGGGAGGTTTTTTTTTTTGGTAGATCTCATGTAGCTCGTCATTTGAAAAGTAGATCTTAACACAAAAATTGTGGGCGCCCCTGATCTAGAGGATCTCTGTACCAGGAGACAAACCTGACCAGTTTGTTGTTGAACTTGGAGGCCAGGAGGTCCGCATCTGGCATCTCCCACCTGAGACACAGGTACTTAACATCTCCAGGTGTATGGCCCATTCTGTCAGATCCAGGTGCTGCCAACTGAGAATGTCCGCCTGTCAACTGTCCATGCCAGGAATGCAAACGGTGGACAAGACTGGAACATGAAGTTCTGCCCAAGACAGAATCCTTTTAACCTCTCCTGGCATGGCAAGATTTTTGGTTCCTCCCCGATGGTTGATGTATGCCACTGCTGTGGCATTGTCCAACTGGAAGCTAATCAGATGACCCACCAGTAGGGATGTCTAGCATTGAAGAGAGAACAAAACTGCCCAGGGCTCCAGAATGTTGATTGGGTTTCTCCAGCATCCAATTCTCCAGCACTGGCGAGATGGTTTAGGACTCCTACCCAGCAGTCAGGCTGATTTTTATTGTGAGGATCCTCCAAAAGATGGGAAGAAAATATATCCCAAACTGCAGAGCTGGATTGGTAATCCACCAGGCCAAAGACCATCGTGGTCCACACAGATGGGTGAATCAGTTTATGCAGAGTTTGAACAGACTTGTCCCACAATGACAGAATGTTGATTTGTAGGGATCTGGAGCAAAACTGGCCAAATAGCACTACCTAGAAGGAAGCTACAATCTTCCTGTCATGACTTTCATGCATATGCAAAGAGGTCTGTCAATTCTTGAACAGATGAGCCGAGTCCGCTGTTTAAGCTGAGAAGTCTGAAGTTTCTCCTGGAGAAGAAAATATTTAGCTTGAGTTGTGTCTAAGATAAGACCCAAACACTCCCAAGTGATAGCCAGCTCAAAGGCTGACTTCTGAAGGTTTGGGATCCCACTGAACCTTTGTAGGGCCTTTGGTGAGCACATGGGTTGGGAGCCCAGAGCAAAGAAAAGAAATCGCTGATGTAATAGAAAAACAGAGACATGCAACTTCATGTCCTTGATGTCTACAGAGGCCTTCAAGAAGAGAAAAAACAGACCTGGCAGATTCCATGCACAATTTTGGGGATTAAATTAAGACATTTAGAGCCTTGAGTTTCAAGATGGGACAAATGCCCCTATTTGGTTTTGGAACTGTGAAAAGGTTGGAATTAAGCCCCTGAAACAAAAGGTATTCTTCTTGGCTAATCAAGTGACTTATTTGTATAGGGTGTTTAATGCAGCTCCAAATGTTGCCAAGCTTTTAGCCAAAAAGTTCTTCACGTTCACTGACCGGAAACTCATTCTGGAAATAAGAGGGGAGACATCGACTAACCTGTCTATGCACTAATTTAGGGCATCCAGCATGATCTCTAAGCATACTATGAATAGGGGGGGATCCGAGTAAATGAAAACTGAATCCTTTTCTAAGGGTTTAATCTATTCCACTAATGTCTGGGAGACCAACATCACAGATATAGCAGGGCATTGCAAGGTTGTCAAAAGAATATCCAAATGTTTATCTATGGGATGCTTAAACACTGGCACATCCTCTACAGGAATCAACACTTTATTAAGATGTGACACTGCCAAAACAGTGGAAACGGCTCACATCTTAAAAAAGGCCTCCTTAAATGGATATTGGTCTGCAAAACATTGGGAGGTGGTGGTTTTTAAGGTTTCCATTCTCCATACAGGACGTCTTGGAGTAAGGCCGTTCTACCATTCTTAATCTGGTAAGCAACATAACAGCAAAAATGCCTAGGAGCTATGGCAGTTCCTGTGACTCCTCAATATAATCTGGCAAGGATTTTTGAGAGTCTTTGTCTGATAGAGCCTCTCTAGCAGAAGGCATAGAGGCTGCTAAAGGTGCAGGCAGATTAGATGATTCAGTAGGGGAAGGAGTGGAGGTACACTTATAGCCACTGCGGTTAGATTTAGCAATCATAGTGTCAATTTGGTTCGTGAAATTCTGCATAACTGCAGTAAAATCCTCCCAGGATACGACTTAGGAGGGGGCCACATCCATAGGAGCTAAAAGACTCAAAAAAAATTTAGGGACTTAAGAAGGAAGCAAACTTCCAGGCTGTCAGTGTCGGGCCATTGAGAGGGAGCACTACAGGGCACCCTGAAATGGTTCTCCCCTTGCGTTTGGAGTCCGATACATTGCACTGCTTTGCAGCACCATCACTCAGAATCCCAGGTAAAACCTTGGGTACTCAAACTACTCAAATGTTCGGAGCAAAACAAGGCAGCAAAAGAGACAGCACTGCATGCACAAAACAGTAGGAGTGAAGTCCCATCACATACTAGTTCATCCTATAGAGATTGTATGCAGATACTGATGGGCCACATATTGACTTTAAATACTTCTTGGGAATACCAGAGATATTTCTGCAATTGAACTGCCTTGTAAGATTACTTGCCATACAGGGTGGTCTTGCAGCACTTGCCGAAGTTTTCATGATCTGATGAAGCATACAGAGTAAATGACTCCCGATGCATCTCTTGTTGCTAAAGTCGCAGTGTTAAAGAAGAACCCCCGGCATTTCAAAAATTAACCTTTGCAGTGGGGCTACCACGCACCAAATGGGTTAAAGGCTCATTTTGGTGTAGGTGCAAAAAAAAAAAAAAAGACAAGACGAAGAGAGATACTTAACTGATCATCAGTCCTTGCCGACTGCTAGACAGTTTCCCGCAGCCTCTCCTCTCGACTCCAGCGGTCTAAGTACGGATGGCATCATCACGTCTAACACAATTCCACGGACTTGCATTTGATGTGAAGACGCTGAAGGACATTCCACAGCTCTGGGGGCTGAGCACTCAATGCCATGGGACTGAGGATTAGGCGAGTGCATCTTCTTTATTCTGGCCCCTAGACCAAAAGGTGCACTTACACTGCGGAGATGTTCTTTAACCTCTTGCCGTCCGCCCGTAGTAAAAAAACGGACGGACGGCACTGCAGCATCTGCGGGTTGCCGTCTCCAGACGGCAATTTTTTTCTGCTCGTGCGCGCCCCCTAGCGGGCACGCACGGGCAGAAAAGACCCGTCCAATGCAAACACCCGGTACCGGGTGTTTCACATATAGGCGATCAGCGGGTCCATAGCCCGCCGATCGCCTATATGTGCTCGTTCGCGGCACCCCCCCCCCCCCGCCCGGTCGGCGCTTCCGGTTTTTTTTCCCCCCCTGACCCCTCACCTTGATTCCCGGGATCCGCTGCCCCATCTTGGATCCCGGGACCGGCTCCGAGGGCGTCAGGAGGAGGAGGACGGGAGATCAGCTCCTTGCTGATCCCCGTCCGGGCTGTGAATGCAGAAGTGATGTGTGTTACATCACTTCCGCATTCACCTGTCAGTCATCTGGAGAGAGAAGAAGCTGATAAAGCAGATCTCTGCTTTATCAGCTTCTTTTGGGGTCCATAGGTGATATTAGGGGTCCTAGAGACCCCTAATATCTCCATAAAGAGGACCTGTCAGTGTGCCTTTGCTATTATATAGGGGGTTGTTATCCCCCTATATAATAGCAATAACAAAAGTGCAAAAAAATATATATAAATAAAAAAGAAGAAAAGCAACACAAAATAAAATAAAATAAAAGCCACATATAAAAAAAGGGGAAAAAAACCCCCCAAAATGTTTAACTCCCCCACCCCCACTTTACGCGCCTAGAAACGGAAATACGCGTCCGGTGCCCCAGCGCGCAAAAATTACAATTGCGCTACACATGTTACATATCGCCGCGAACGTCGGAGTGAGAGCAATCATTTTAGGGCCATCAATCACTGATCACACTAAACTGATGAGCGGTAACAGCTTTTAAAGCGTCGCCTAGGGCCAATTTTGGGTATTATCGTTTTTTGAGGTTTCGCGCACGCAATTTTAAGGCTTGACATGTTTAGTGTCTTTTTACCCGACGTGACCCCATCTTTTATATTTTACCAAAAAATTGGGTAATAATAAATGTTTTATCATTTAATATAGGGGAAACTGTTTTTTTTTTTTTTAATTTCGGTAATTTTTCCTTAATATAGTAAAAAAATAAAACCCCCAGTGGTGAATAAATACCACCAAAAGAAAGCTCTATCTGTCCCCAAAAAAGGGTATAAAATTAATTTCAGTACAGCGCTGCATGACGGAATAAATGTCAGTCAAAGTACCGCAGCGCTGAATACTGAAAAATGGCCTGGATGGGAAGGGGGTTTAACACCGCGGATGTCAACTGGTTAAAGAGGCCAATTAATGTGTCAATACTCTTTCAGAACTGGAAGACTTCAATCTGAAAAGCACATACTCTAAGGTTTATCTAACATTAAAACAGAAGTGTCAGTGCACAGACCACATGATAAATGGTGGGCAGACTTGCGCATTTCTCTCAAAAGTGCTAAATACAGAAGGGCCAAAGTGCAGGTGGGCACAAAGACAAGAAATCATGAATATGTTGCCCTGGATTATTTGGCTCTTGCACATTTATTCTGGTTTCCAAAACAAAGTTATCTTACCATTGGCATCGTGAGAATACTCTATTCCAGAGACTGTGCAGCGTCTGAAGACCATTTTATTCTCTGTTAGTGTTCCAGTTTTGTCGGAAAATATATACTGTATCTGACCTAAGTCTTCAGTGATATTCAGGGCACGGCACTGTAGCCGAGAGTCTGTTTCTTCATCGTACAGGTCCTTGTCTTGATGAATAAAATAAACTTGGCAGATTTTAACAATTTCAATGGAAACATAGAGGGACACTGGAATAAGAACCTGTCATTTAAGCAAAGCAAATAAAATGAAAATATCAAGTCAGTATAAAGCTCTCTTCAATATCAAATTTGTTATATGATAGATAACTATAACAAAATCATACAAAATTACTTGAGACCACATTTTTATTCAAACATTGCAGCAAGACAAAAGAAGCGAGCATACAAAAAAGAAAGCAACCACCTACAAATCTGGCCCATACCTTAGCAGGAGGAAACTGCTGGCACTTGTTAGGGTCAGGTTGATCTTTGAAGAACCCTGCTCCCTGACAACCAGGAAAGACCAGCCCAAACACGAGTAAGCAGCGCAATTTGTCTGGTTAACCGGTGGTATGCCCTGACTGCCTTAAAGTGACATTAAATCCTCAGATTTGTTACCATAAACCAATACTGTAATGTGTGCCTTACTGTAATCCATGGTAGTTTCTCTTCTCTTTCCTGCTCTTCCTTTTAAATCCTCATGTCTTCTCATGCTGGGGGAGAACTTCCCTTTGCAGCTGAGTGCCTCTTCCTGTAGTGCTGGCTCAGGTTGTGAACCTACACACAGACGCCATGGGGTTGATTTACTAACCTTATAAAACACACCACGAACATGTATACACCTCTGTAGTGTGTTCCCTCCCAGCATGATCTATGGGTGGAATCTAAACACCTTTGTAGTGTGTACACACCCAGCAGGTGTGTTGTGCAAAGCCCTGCATGAATTACAAGGTGATGTTGTGTAAATTAGCTCTATGTTGTGTTGCTTGCGTTGATGAATGCAGGAATGTAAATGCATGAGCTAACCATTTTTGTCTAAACTGTAAAGCAGCATTATATATGCATCATGTGCATGATTTTTCCATATATGGCATTAGTGGAAATATGCTTTTAGAGACTTTTTGGTTGATAAATACATTTTGCTGTGTGAAAATCACACGCACCTGGTGCGTGCGTGTGTTTAGGTTAGTAAATCACCCCCCATGTATCCATTTCAGAGACAAGGCAGTCTGCTGCAAAACAGAAGTTCTGCCCAGCATGAGAAGAGATACAGATTTAAAAAGGAAGAGCAGCAAAGAGAAGGGAAACAACCATGGATTACAGTAAGGCACACATTACAGTATTGTTTTATGTTAAAAAATCTGAGGGTTTAATGTCACTTTAATAACACTGTGGCTTATGAGCCAATTAAACTGCACCCCAATCAAATATGCAGTTAGAAATTTCCTATGTTGGAAACCAACCTGACTGCAACAATCAGTGCTGCAATCAATGGGTGGATATTACAAATGTAAAAGGAGATGAAATGTTATTTATGTAAAATGCTTGCCTTGCCTCAGTACAAACAAAAATAAAAAAATCCTGAAATCCTAAAAGTTAGTTACTTTTCACATCAGAACATTAGTATTGTATTTCTTTTCATTTTCTTTGGCAATTGTTTAATTTAATCTTAGAAAAAGTCAGATGTTGGCAAAAAGGTCATAATTTAGGTACAATTAAAGTTGTTCTTTTAATATAGTGCATACATCCAAAACTGTGTCTTGTTGCTTTTCCAGAAGGTCTTGCTGCTCACCTGCTGTACAGAAACAATAACAGGACCTGGGATTTATATAACTTGTTGGCTCCAATTCTGTTAGCTTAAAAGGAGAACTATGAGGTGAGTGATTTTCACTCAACCTCATAATTCGAGCCGACGTGTGACAATGAAACTGTCACATGCCGACTCAACAGATCGGGAAGTGAGCGAACACATACCGTTGCTCGCTCACTTCTCGATCCTGTCCCTGCAGAGAGCCGTGAACGTCAGTCACGGCTCCCTACAGGGATTCCCCCCTCCCCTCTCCGATCCACCAGAGCTGAGTGGAGGAACGGACGGGGGAGGGGGCGGGTACAGCTGGATCTGCCTCTAGATAGGCAGAGCCAGCTGTCAATCACACAGCTGGGTGGATCTCGACAGTAATGTTGGGATCCGTCCCGGCTGCGGCACCTCAGTATACTGCGAGCTGTAGCTCGCGGTATACTGAGCTTTGAGTCTAGGGAGGACGCTAGTTTAAGTCCTCCCGTGAACCTGAGAACTATGGTGACAAACACTTACCCCATAGTTCTCCTTTAACAGCTCAGAGATCATAGGCTTTTTACACCTCCCTCATAGTACGGTATGTCATTATGCTCCCATGTATTTTCATAATGGGGCACTGCACAGAACAATATGGCTCCTCTTAGCCCTGTGTTCCCCTTTCAAATTTGTGAACTGTCGCATTTTTTTTCTTCAAACAAGTAACAAGTGTTGGGGGGGGGAGAAAAAAAAGGAGCCTTGTGTTTGAACAGAACTGCCTTATTACACGACCAGTTCCTGCCAAAAAATGTTTTTTTTACATCCATTCCTTCAGATGGTAGCACTGTTTCATCTCCTCCCGCTAGTCCTGCTGAACAGACTAGGCAAGAAGGCATATGGATTAAATGGAATATGTACAGGTGAAACTCGAATAATTAGAATATCGTGCAAAAGTAATTGCAGTAAGTGCTGCAAAAGGGGCCCAAACCAAGTACTGAGTACATATGCATGCTTGTACTTTTCAGAGGTCTGATATTGTACAATCCTTGTTTTATTGATTGCATGTAATAATCTACTTTTTTGAGGTAGTGGATTTGGGGTTTTCATGAGCTGTAAGCCATAATCATCACAATTATGACAAATCATGGCTTGAATTATCTTGCTTTGCATGTAATGAGTCTATCTCATATATTAGTTTCAGCTTTTAAGTTGCATTAGTGAAATAAACTTTGCACGATATTCTAATTATTCGAGTTTCACCTGTATAATGCAAAAGGTAGCACAGATTGGTACGTTTAAATGCATACACAATGCTTACCTTACAATTTCAAAGTGGTTGCAACTATCAAGAAAAAATAAAATAACTTTAGTTCTGCTTTAAGTAATTTGTGATCCTTTATTGTTAGTTATTGTTTTGATTAGCACTAATCCTACAAAGTAGTACTAGGTGGAGAAATACAAATTAAAAGTTGGGACTTAAAATTATGTTCATCATATGCTCATTTTCATGACATATTCCAAAAAGTTACCTGTAAAACAATGATCATAGTGAAAAATAAATACAATGCAGAAAGCAGGGGCTTCACGTAATTTCCATCAGTTCCCAGGACATCAAACACTGGTCTCTTCTCTCCATACTGCCATACCCATAGTGCATGACCTGCCCAAAAATAAGACATGGTGAAAAGAAGTGAAATATAGCTTTACTAGTGATCCATACTTTAGTAAGGAGGTAGGTTGTGGCATACAGTTGTGGTTACTCTTCTTTAACTATCAAGCCATTTAGCACAGCAGTGGTAGGTGGATCATGTGCCGCCAGGCTTTTTGTTACTTTTTTTTTTTTTTTAATTGCTTAACCAGTTTTATAATAAAACAGGGTACAAAGAGGTGGTAACGGTCTGATACAGCACAGCATTTACAAGGCACAAGGGTCAGATGTATATCAAGTGCAAAGCATTGTTAATACAGATAGTACATTGTACGTCTTTAGGAATCAGCAAAGAAATTCCTTTTGGAGATGTTGGAAGAGCCTTCAGTAAAAGGAGTGTCAGGTGCTGGAATCTTCTATGATCTGGTGGATGAAGCTGTACTGCATCAAAGGGTGAATTATACTTTGGAGGGTTAGATGGGAGGTTAATGCACAACCCAGGAGACCTCACAGGAGGAGCTCTAAACAGCATACCAATATATGAGCAGTTCACCTTTCTTGACATACGGCTTAATATTCTGCTGAAGTGGTGTATTCATCAGTGCTACATTTTCCTAAATTGTTCACCACGATTCTGAAGGGAAAAGTGCTAGATCCTCTAGGTCTCTTATTTAATTTATTTTGATTTTAATTTATTTATCCATAAGGAAACTGTAGGGGGTTTGTGTTTGCTGCTTCCATAATAGAGGCATACAACAACTTTGCTGTTTGAGTAAATGTTTACACAGCGTCTTTTTTTTTTTTTTTA